AATCTGGATGCCACTGAAACTCTCTCGATCCTGATAAGCACCCGTACACGAGGGTGAAATCTGGATGCCACTGCAGCTCTCACTGATCTCAGTGGGGCTAGGATTGTACCCTGAAGCATGCATAGCCAGCGAGAGCAAACGCTGCTTTCCTTGGAAGGCATAAAGCTCAGCGTTAAGACCCAAGCTGAGGGATTATACGTTGGCTCTTATTTTTGAAGCATCACTGTAGGTGTTTTTTATTTAAAATTAATCAAGACTCGTGCTTTTTCATCTTCTTCAATTGTACTGCCAGCCTGTTTGCTGTGTCCATGATTTTGATTCATGTCCTGCCTCAGAAAGAATAGAGCATAGACCATTTCAGATGTCGTGCCTGCCAGTACCACAGCCAAATATATTTCATTATTAGTGGGCAAACTCTCTTGGCTTCACTCGGCTTCACTCTCTCTTAAGACTGGGCTAAACGCAGGTTTTTGCACTGTTCTAAGTAGGTGGGGGTGTGAGGAATGGAGGTGTGTAAATGCCTTTATACGGATGTAACTCTGCCCATGCGAGGTGGGTTGTACCTGTTTCTGTTTCTTAGCCAGTCTAGAGTAGGATGAAAACCTATATGTAGAACCTTTCCTTACTATGATCCTGACTCCAGGAGCTGTGGCTTTAACTTAAACATCAAATGAAACTCGCGATAGAATCACCAGAGTTTAGGCTCTATCCACATGGCAGTCAGAGGTGGGATCACTGTATGTGTAGACATTACTAAGCCAGCTTTGATCGGGGTAGCTTGAATAACAATGGCAGGGATGTCTTCCCCACTGACTGGAGTGTGGATTAGCCACCAGAAGAACTACCAGGGTCCCTGGCCTTCCCTGAATCTCCTGTTGCCACAGCTTTGCTGCTCCTGGTGCTCTCCCTATCTAGATTGAAGCGAGTGCAGGTACATCCATTTGCTGTGTAAATGCACCATAGAAGGAGGCTGTGGCTTTAAGTCACAGTGCCTAATACAGGCTGTGGGGCTCATGCTTTTTAGGCTAGTGATAGAAATGTAGCCGTGTTAGTCTGGGGTAGCTGAAGCAAAATGCAGGACAATGTAGCACTTTAAAGACTAACAAGATGGTTTATTAGATGATGAGCTTTCGTGGGCCAGACCCACTTCCTCTGCGCTGGGAAGGCTTGGTGATAAAAGTGCTTTCCACATGCAAAAGGTGCCAAATGTGAAAACCAGTCAAACCAGTTTTCCTGTCTCCCATTGTTGACATTTCATGGCCACATGACTAGCACCCCATCAACAGAGCAATGCAGTGTGGGTAAGCATCCCACAGTGCAGTGCTGTGGAGAGGCAGAGCTGATCCTGGTACGTCTTGGGATTCCCTTGTAGCTCTGGGAGCTCTCTGTGCTGAGGAATGTCAAAGCAGCCCAGCTGCCTCTCCAGCCCTCCACCTGCAGCAGCAGCCCACCCGCCACTGTGTTCCTAGCAGGGCATTCCAACGACCTACTCTGTCTGTTCCCCAAACAGAGCAGCTCACTCAGCTGTCAGATACATCCTGGAGCTTTGAAAGGGGGCGGGGTGCATGCCTGCAGGGCAGCAGAGATCACAAAACACAGAGCAAGGCCAGCAGGGGTTGTGGGATACTGGCAGAAGCCAGTTCTCTGGACAGAACAAACAGCAGAGTCCACACTGGCTCTTTGTGGACAATAAAGGTAGGAGAAAAGACAAAAGTCTCTTGCAGGGGTGGAATTTTTCTGTTGCCAAAAGTAGGTGTGTTTTCCCTCCGAAAGTTGCTCTGCAGTGTAAACGCTGTCACTGCTTTGTTGCCAAAAGGCAGGTTTTGGCGACAAAACATGACAGTGTAAACAGGGCTTTAGGCTGGACCTCAGCAGCAGCTCTGCCGTTTTGCAGCCAGGTGAGATGGCTTTCCGCAGACTCTGCTTCTTCTGGGGGAAACTTTATCTGACTTAGGGCCCATGTCTAGTTAGGCCTACGCCACAGAATTACATCGGTATCACTGTGTCACTGGTGGGTGTGAAAAATCCACATCCCTGAGCAACATGGTTCTATCAGCCTGTCCTTCCGGTGCCCCGCTCAGTGTCAGCGGGAGAGCATGGTCTGGATGCTGGCAGCCCAGGTAGCGGGCGGTTCCCTCCAGCAGTCTCCACTTCCTGCTCTATTTACCAGCGGAGACAATGTTGTGTAGCTAGAAGCAATGTGACATGACAAACATGTTCTTTATTAGCTAGCAAGTGTGTGTGGGGGAGGAGGGAGTTGGCTGCCTGGGGCGTGTGCGGGCAGAGCTTTGGCTGCCTAGAGCATGTCCGCTTCATTGCTATGGATTTGGTGCTTACATTGGGGAAGGAATTGGGAGCTGCCGTTCTTTAAACCAGAAATGGGGACACTTTTTCTCCTCGGGGCCACTGACCCACAGAAAAAAATTGTGGGCCCCAAAGCAATGTGGGGGCGCCCAGAGCCTGGGGCTTCTCCTCAGCTCCAGGGTGGGGCCAGAAATGAGGGGTTCAGGCTGTGGGCGCAGTCTGGGATGTGGAAGGCCAGGGGCGCGCAGACTCCAGCCAGGCACCACTTCTCTCAGGCAGCAGCACAGCGGGGCTAAGGCAGGCCCAGCGAAGCAGCCACGCTGTAGCCAGGAGGCTCTGAGCTCTGCATGCTGCCCCCCGCCCTCCCCCCAGGTGCTGCTCCCGCAGCTGTCATTAGCCATGGTTCCAAGAGTGGGGGCAGGTTCACACAGACTGAGTCAAGCTTCCCTGATCGTCCCTGTGCTTAGGGGCCACAAGGGACAGCCTGGACCCTAGCTTCCCCCCACAGCGGGGCTAGCCCAGGGGCAGGGCTTCTGGCCCACAGTTCATAGACTTTCAACGAGACGGATGACATTGGGCAGGGGGTGGGGAACCAGCCTGCGGTTGCCCACCCCTGTTTTAGACTGTGCCCTGTCGGAATCCGCCTCCTCTCGAGAGGTGCACAGCGGCTCAGTTTGGGGAGTCAGTTTGTCACTCTGCACAAGGGCCGGCTGCTGGGGGCAGTTTGCTCTCTTGGTTCGTGTTCAGCCCTCACATATTTTAACGTTTGAACACGTTAGAAGCAGGAGCAACTGTCTTGATTAAAAGAACCAGGCCGTGCCGGGGCTGACTTATACAGCAGAACTCCAGTGCTGAGCCTGACAGGAAGCGTGGACCACTGTGGGACTTGGGATCTGTTCCCTGCTCTGCCTCTAACCAGCCATTAGATCTCGTGTAAATCGCTTCACTGCTCCGTGCCTCAGTTTCCCCATCTGTGAAACCGGGATGATGCTGATTCTTCCCCACATGCCAAAAGCCTTGTAGCCACACTGGATGTTGCTGTCATTCTCAAGGAGTCTTTGATTATGCCCTGCCCTACGAAGGCAAGTTGCAGTATCACGGTGCCATGAAGAGTGCCCACTATTGCACCCGCCTTTCTCTGGAGACCTCCATTTCCAAAGTACTGTGAGAACAGTGGGGGACGCGTTCAGGAGCACCTAGTACCGCTGTTTGTCTGCTGCGCCAGCTCCAAGCAGCGCTGCAAGAGTCACGTCCTGCGTGAAGTATTTAGAGGCTTTGATCTGTTGTAATAGATTCGTTTATTCTTGGACGAGGTGTCTCATTAGTTCATTATTCTGTGTGCTGGGAGGCACAAAGGAAATTGCATTTTCTGGTAGTTCTTCTCTGTGCTGCATACCTCCTCTGCATGCTTGCGCTTTGTTCCAGAGCTTTACCAAGCTTGCTTCATCACAGTGCTGGTATTGAAGAGCGGACTGCCCTTTCCTTGCCTGCTGCACGTTTGAATTGTCCGAGCTTTCTTCTCTTTGTGATCATATTCGCACGCTTGCTTCCTAAATGGTCTGCGCACCAACCCCTGGGTCAGGCCCCCTCAGAGCAGCACCAGCAGCCAGTTGTTGTTGCTGCAGAAATATTCTTGCTCTCGTCCATCTTATTTTGGGGTTAGTTCAGAATTGCTCCTTCCGACTCTTAAAGGCAAAGTGGTCCTCGTGCAGCAACGTTTCTTTGGCTCATTTATAACATTGAGGGCATGAACCGCTGTGTTGCAAGCTAATGGGACTTTGCCTGTTTGAAATAAGCGTGCTCTTTCAAATCCATTTTCTGCTGGAGATTTGTTTCTTGTCATAGATTCTGAAGGCCACTGGAGACCAGTAGGCTATGTAGTGAGAGCATGTGTACAGTTAAGGGTTGCCCAGACCACGGAGTGGATGGGGCTTCCGTGCTTTCTATTCAGCAGCAAGTGGAGATGGGCAAAGGGGTGGGAGGGTTGTTGGAAAGAAATGTCTCCACCTGACTGGCTGGCAGCAGTTTGTCCTGCTCCTGGCCTGGCAGGAAGAGCTCTCAAGAGGTATAATTTTGGGGCCATACGATTTCATCTTGTTAATCCTGGAGTTATTTGAATGAAGCACATGTCCCAGGAAAGCTACCCACCTTGGTTTGAAGACCTCAAGAGACAGGCTCCACTGCTGCTTCTAGCAGCTGGTTGCAGTAGCTAATCAGCTGACTTAAGGCTGTGCCCTAGTTGTAATTTTGAATGCACCTGCCTTATGGAAATCTCTGATTATTCTGCTGTGCTGCTGTCCTGTGGAGGAGGTTGCTCATTCCAGGGAGTGGCCCGGGGTCACTGAGTTCTTGCAGGGACTCTGACCGGTGAGCTTTGAGAAGCGTGCTGAATCTGCTTCAGAGGAGCCTTTTGAACTTTCCTTACCCATGTGTGTCTGCAGGGGAGAGCTGGAGCTTCAGAGGTGATCCTGGACAGAGCAAGGGTGGGCTGAGGAGTGATGAGCGTTATCCTCACGGTCACACCAGAATTCGCTCTGGGGAACTGGGGCTACTCAGTCACTGCGGATCTCATTGGGTGGGGCTAGCCAGCCACAGCATGCTGGCCTAGCGCAGTTGATGGCCAGTCTCTGAGCATGCGTATTGTCCCTGCGAACATGCACAGGCCTATGGGCGAACACGTCTCTGTCTCCTCACAGGTTTGGAAGCGGTCTGGTGCCTGGTTCTACAAGGGGCTGCCGAAGTACATCATGCCTGTGAAAAGCACCAAAGCCAATGACCTGCGCCTGCGGCCTCGACAGCCTGAGCCGGACGTTCAGGAAGTGAAGGGCGTCGGGACTAACCGTTCCTATACCTGGGCCAGGGGGAGAGGTCAGTTGCTACCCCCCCCCCTTTCCTGTCTTGGGAGGGCAGAGCACGAGTCAGGGTGCAGAGGCATCCCACTGGTAATGGGAATCACAACAGCAGAGCCGGATTTCTGCATCCCGCAGGATTTTAGGGCTAAATCCAGGCATTGGGCTGTGATGCGATTGGGCTGCCCTGTGCCTGTTTCGTTGCAGGCCAGTCCTGCGCTGAGCTGTTGTGGATTGGATTAGCAATTAGCACATGGAACTGGGAAGTCTCGGTTTCCGCCACTGGCTCAGTGTGTGACTCGAATCCTTTCCCAAGCGCCGTGCTTCAGTTTCTGGCATAGCAAGGGGATAACCATATTGCCCCCCCCTCCAGGGGTATTAGTGTGTGCAAGGAAAAGCAATGCTCCTCTTAGCTGGCCCTCCATCCTCGCTAATAACTATTGATTCTGGGGCTGTAAGAAAAGCCAGACGAGACCTGGCGGCTCTGAACGTGCAGGGGGTGTGTTGCATTTGTGACAGGGAGGAGAGCGCTTGCTGCCAGCGCTCACTGATTTAAAAATGGCTGCTTTTCTGAATGGGAGCGGTTTGCTTTTCATAGCTGGGCCCCGTGTCCCTCTCTCCTCCGCTCCGAGGTGATGTCGGTAAAGCGGAGGGCTGCACTGCTGGGAGCAAGGGAGCTATTCTGGCCTCTGGGGTTTGTTCCAGTGTTTCTCGCTATTTGTGATACCAGGGCCCAGCAGCAGGCAGCCTTGTAAGCTGGGTCCTGAAGCTCTCCGGGACCGGGGCCCTCCGCAGACGTGTAGTCGAGGAATGCTGGACTGTTCCATCCGCGAGCCCTTTGCTGAGGCTGCACCGTCCATCCGTCACACCCGCTCTTTTAACCCTTCCCCCTGCCCAGCCATTAGCTAATGACCATGTTCAGCCTCTGCTAACTCAGCCCCGTGGCCAGAGGCAAAAGGCTCTGCGGGTCCTCCCAAGCAACCTGCAGCAGCTTGTGTGTGGGCAGCCTGGTAACTGCTGCTGGAGAGCAGCACAGGCACAGCCCCTTGGCAAAGGTTCCAGACGCTCGGAGAGGAGAGGAGCTGAACGCACCGCTCGGGCTGGGTAAAACGAAGCTGTCAGCCCTCGTTCCATGGGAGCACGAGCGCGTCTGTGAAGTGCAGAGGGGGTTCGCGGCACAACTCGAGCGGTACACGGGATGCCCTGGGAGAGCAGCCTGGGGAGAGCTTGGGATTCCAGCTGCCCTCTGAAGCATTGGTCAGACAGAGATCACTGACCTTACCTGGCCTGAAGGCTCCTATGCTTTAGTGGCCCCAGCATGGCCTTCTCAGTGGAAGGGACGACTCCTGTTCTCTCTCCAGCAAAATCTAACCTAGGGGCATGTCCACATAGGGGAGCTTACTGGCAGAATTCGCCTGCTGTAGTGCTACAGGGATTCCTTTCCTGGCGGGCGCTCAGCGGGGGATGGGTTCCAGGTAGCCTTGTATCGATTGCTTCGGAAGCAATATGCAGCCCTCTTCTGAGGAGTAGGAGACCCCCAGTCAGGGGGAGCCAAGGCCCAGGCTGCTTGTGGTGAGCTAATCAAGGGGACCAAGCCCCTGTGTGTAGTTAACAAGCACCTGGGCCAGCTAGAAAGCGGCCAGGGCTCTGTTTCAGGGTGGTCCTCAGAGACACTCTTCTAAGGGGAAGGAGCTCCGCAGCCCCTAGATCACACGCAGGAGGGCTGGGCACCCCCCAGCCCAGGGTCAGACTTGATTTCAAGTTTACTTGGCTTTCTTAAAGTGGAATCCCAACAGGGGAGTTGTCTTACACCCATTGGGGCTGGGTGGAGTTCTCAAAGGGCCCCAGAGTACAGAGACAGGCAGAGGGGGCTTTGCAGCCCCCAGCACTGCCACCCTAGCAAACTGGGAGCAGGGGCCCTCTCACCAGGTGAGAGAAGGTGTCCGGGCCCCAAGAGGTGGGCCCAGGCGTGTCTCAGTTTGGCCCTGAGGCCATCAGCAAACAGGGCTTGTGCTGGGCTGTTCCCCTCCGAGTGAGTGTCTGGATGTGGTAGGTGTGGGGCAGAAGCCCCTCTCCCACGGCAGCCCAGCAGCCCTTCCTCCCTGCATCCTCCATGGAGATGGCCACGCCCCAGGCGCTGCCTTCGCTTTGTCCCCACTTTTGTTTGGTCACACCCAGCTCTGCTGTTAATTGCAGCAGCAGCAGAACTTGGTTTCCCTCGCGTCATGGGGGTGAAAAACAATTGGGCCTGTTCGGAGCCCTGAGCTGCCAGTTTCATTTGTGGACCGGCTGATCAAGGCTGCAGAACCATCGTGTTACGTTGACTCTTGTTTCTTTCCAGCAGGGATTAGCAGAACTGCCTGCTCTCCCTGTCCTGTGTCTTGCCATTCAGCCTCCCAAATCAGGGGAACTTTGAAATGTTCTTCCTAGAGCTCATCGCTGTTAGTGCAGGAAATAATAATGAGTTTTAGAATTTTGTTTTGCTGCCATCGTATTACGCCCCAGACTAAGGTAGTGCTCTCAGCCCCTGCTGGCATTTTCCTAATTAAAGGCAAAATTGATCAAGAGCAGCCAGTTGTTTCCACCCTGCAGAGGTTTAGAGCAGGTTGTGGCTGCACATAGACCTGCTGGTGTGTTTAAAAAGTCTGAGTAGCTCAGTGCTTGTATTCCTCCGTGAAGGCGTTAGCTGATCCAAAGCCCCACAGGGATCTTACCACTGCCTTTAGCAGGCTTTGGATTAAGCCTGGGCTGCCTAAAACCAGACCCCTGGAAGCTTATTGTTGCACCAGATGTTTTACCGTAAGAGGGTCTCTGCGCTATTGAAATAGTGAAGAAGCAGGGTTCTCCCTGTTACGCTGGGCTCAGGCCGGGCTGGCGCTGCTGCTGCTTAGTGGCCTGCTCTGCAGTTGTGCCGAAGTCACTGAGAGCAGAATCTGGCCAAGTGACTTTTCAAACGATCCCTTAGGCTACAGCATCTTCAGTGCAAACACCCCCCGGCCACGAAGCTCTGAACCTGGCTTGGCCGGGTGGGGCTCATGGCGCTTGTGCTCTGGGACTCGGAGCAGCCGTGCGGACGTTTCCGCTGGAGCTGCAGCCTGGGCTCCGAAACGCCGTCGGTGCCTGAGCCGGCCACAAGGAGTTTTCAGTCTGTGACGTTACCAGGGTGATAAAACTGCCCAAAGCTCCATCCTTCCTGCATGTGGCCCGGCTGGAAAGACTGGTTCACTCCACTTCTGAGACCCACTGTTGTCAGTGAAGGCCTTGCTGCCCCCGGGCTGGCAGGAGAGAGGCAGGGATGTTCTGGGTGGACAGTGCTCTCAGGGGAGGCTGGCGACTTTGTTTTGCCCGGGGAGTTCCCATAAATACCATTCAGGCACCAGGAGCAGTGAAGCAGCAGCCCAGGAATAACAGAGCCACTTGGATAAACCAGCCCCTCAGTGCTCCAAGCGAGGCTCCTCCTTCCTCTTGTGCTTACAGATCTGTGGCCGTGTCTTTGTGGGAGAAACAGTATCAACCGGGTCCTCACCCCACTTCATGTCCTGTCACTTCCTTCCCTCGCTTTTCTGTGCCAGGCTGCAAGTGCTCCGGGGGCCACAAACCTCCATCTCCAGTGGGCTACAACTTCCTTTCCCCCCCAAGGCAGGCTGGATCTTGCTGGGAATCTGCTTCCCCAGCCCCTTTCCCATGTGTCCTATGGCCGCTGCCCTCCCCAACTGTGACAGTCCCCCCACGCCTGCGGTAAGAGTGCACAGCATGTCACACGGGGAGGGGGAGGGACTGCCCCTAGACCCACCATCGGCAGGCGGGGTAACGTGCCCGGGGAACAGAGCAAGCTGGGGCCACGTTGCTCTGCTTCCCCTGCTGCTGGCGGTAAATGTGGGGGGCCAGACCCCTGCTGCCTGTGCTGGATCCCCGGCCCCACTAGTCCCCCCAGGCTGCATCACTCCGGGGAGAGGAGTGAGGGGAAGAGGAGGGGAGAGACAGGGCCTGGGGCAGAAGGGGCCCTTTGCTGGGTGGGGTCAGTCACATTCTCTCCCCCCTCCTCCCTCAATCCCTCCTCACGAGTCGCCCTTGGCAGCCATCATATAAAATCCCATCTCTGTTGAGCAGATGTGCTGAGAGAGGGACCCTGGTGTGAATGCACCCACCTGGCGAGCTAACCAGAGGGGCTAACGGCTGAGGCAGCCCCGACGGGGGCTTTGTTCCCTTAGGGGGCCATAAGGGAGTAGTGCTGGCTTAAGGCCGACAAATGCCTCTCGTGAGGCTTCACGCTCCCGCTGCCATCCAGGCTCTTAAAGGGTCAAAGCAAAGCGCAAAGGAGACTTGGGATCCAGACGTGGCAGCAAGTTGACTTGGAGCCAGGCTGCTTGGCGGCGGCAGCGTGACTGCCCTGTGGGGTAACGTAGCTGCTCAGGCGTATGCCGCGGCAAGTCTGGACGCTGGAATCTCTTGGCTGTTACCGGGGATTTTTGTCACGCTGGATTTCGCGTGACTCCAAGGAGGGCCTCGGTCGATGGTCCTAGCTGCGGATGTTCCACTGCTCACGTAACGGCCCGTGCAGCAGAGCACACCCGGCAGGAGCTGGAGCTGCTGAATAATATCACGTCAGGGTTAGATTGGAGTCCCCTGTGCTGATCCCAGGGGAAGGATGGTGCAGTGGGTCTCTGGAGACCTGGGTTCAGTTCCTGGCTCTTCCACAGACTCCATGGGTGATATGGAGCAAGTCACGGGGTGGCTGTTTCTCATCTCTCCCCCTGTAAAACGGGAGAGTCACCTTGCCCTGCCTCACCAGGGCGATCCTCGAGAGACAGCTGCTCTGATCCTACGCGGAAGGACCTGGATAGAGCAAGGCCCTGCCCGTCAATGTACTGCGGGGTGGGCGGGGGCTCAATGGTGGAAGTGTCATGCCCGAAGTTCTTAGGCTTGGTGGGACCACCGCTGTGAATTCCAGCAGCATGGCCTGGTTAACCGCGCGTGGGGCTTTTCAGGGAAGAGTTTCAAACCCCCATGTGGGCGTGA